TTACCAATAATAATAGTAGCCACAATTAATGATAAAAATAATAATAATAGCAATAATCCAAATTATTCATAAACGAACGGGGCGTCACAGCTCCAATCGCTCATCAAGCTCATCGGATCATCTCGAACCTTCGGTAGGTGAATCGGACTGCTCGAACCGCTTGGGAACCATCTTGGACTCGAACCGGGACTTCTGGACCAAGTTGAACCATTCTGGTGCGAGCTGGACACGCCTGGACCGGTCTAACCTCGCTCTGGGCTTGCTGGCAGCGATTTGGGCTCACTCCGGTCAAGCTGGACTCGCTTGGATGCTTCTGGGCTTGTTTAAAAGTCGCTGGGCTGCACCAACAACGAGTTGGGCCGTAGTGATGCTGCAGTTGGGCCGCGCACAAGGTAGTTGGGCCACGCGAAAGGACATCTGGGCCAAGGATTCATCTGGTAAAAAGAAAATGTCTCCTATTTGGGCAAGGAGAAGGATCGAACCCGCGACCTCGCACGGGGAAGACAGCGCCGCACGCCACTGCGCTACACAAGGTGTTGCGTTAAATTAACGAAGACCTTCAGTAAAGTAGACGAACGGATCTGGGAAATATATTAAACGGAATACGAATCAACAACCTTTGAATCTTCTATTGTATGACCTTTACACGATCTCTAATAAATCTTGGTGGAGCGATTTATTAGAATTCCCAAAACCCCTTAATCATCTTCTTCTAAGACCTTACGGTGCTAACCGAATTTTCTCTCGAACAAGAATCTCTCTCTTTCTTTCTCGCTTGAAGAGGCCGAATTTCTTCATCCCTTCTGGGAGAAAAACTTTTAAAGCTTGTTCCAAGAGGTTAGGGGACCTAGTGTATTTATAGGCTACAATAGGAACCTAAAGGAGGTGCTAAATATGAGCTTATTCCTTAAGGTTTAGGAATCCTTATTATCTTCCATCTCCTTTTCCCATCTAGGATAATATTCCTAATAATTAATTACCTTCTAGAAGACTCCATAGTCTCCTAACCTTAGGTAATATTTTAGAAGAAATATTCTCATCCTTAGGGAATTATGGAATATAATTAATTCCTAATTCCTAATCTTGGAATTAAATAATAAAACATTCCACTGGAGTAATATTATTGCTCTCCCATTTAGCTCCGAATTACAATTAATTTGTTTCCACTGATTAAATATATTAATCCAATTGATCGATTTATCTCCCCATGTTTAAGATATAACGTCCGTTGATTAATTAAATTACTGACAAAATAATTAATCAACTTCTTATTCATTTCCGAAACTAGTACCACTCATATCCTTAATCATTATGCCGGATAACACATTCGCCTGCAGGGCTTGACATAATATTCATTCCTGAGCTCATTTTGGGGACGTCATCAACCCAGTGCACTGGCACACAGTGACTGTAAATAATTTATTACGGCACATCATATAAACACACTTATTTACCAAAATACCGAGTATGTCATCCTAGCAAAATAGGAATCACCCTTGATAAATCAAATAAATAAGTAATGAATACATATGCCCATTTTATATTATCTTACAGCTTAAAAGTACGCATCAATTACTGAAGGTCTAGATTACAACAACGGTCAGTGTGTCTCATAATCTTATCCTTTTGTGGTCATGTTCAACACCTATCATAAGTGCTAGTGTAATTCTCCAGTCAAAGACCAACTGAATCAAAAATACACTACAATCTTTTTCCAAGAGGGGTCTCACTGTCTGTCTAGACTGTGAACGAATAGTTTAGTCTTACAAGGAACTGATAGGTGATCTTTCTGTTCGAAACACTTCGAACCACACTATCTCAATGTAAGACAAGGAGTATGATTGCATAAATAAAAAAACTGCAACATTATGTACTTTGACCGAAACATGATGGCCAGATCAAAATGGAATTGATAGAATTTGCAAATTGGAGCTTTTACAGCATACCTCTAACACCGGCGCCAAATTTGTTGTAGCAAATTTTAATTTTTTATTTTTCCGAGCACCGAATCAAAGATTTGTTCCCCGAGTCGTATTTCAAGGAAAGTTTAGTCGGATTAAATTGTGCGTTTATTCGATTACGAAAAATTATAAAATGATGTCCTAAACATTCTAATCAATTTTAGTATGAAATTTTACTATCTACTAATTTTAATAATTGAACTAATAAACATAAAATTATAATTCAAGTGGTAAATAAATTCAATAATTATAAAAATCTTAAAGAGAATAAGAATATAAAGATGATAGAAGTGTTAGGGAATTGAGAAACAATTGTTTTTAATTCTATTGATAAATCCAAATATTTATTGTTCGATTAAATGATTCGATAAACACACTAATTTAGAGGATTATATTCTATAACTTTTCGTAACAAGAATATAAACATAAATTAATATATTTTTCGTACCATATAATACAAAAGCAATACAATTATGAACAAGCTTACTCGTTTCAAGCCGAGATCAATCAACTTCGCCCCTCTCGGTTTAAAAATCAATTAAGTAGATTTAGAAGGTGTTTAATCAACTAAATCATAAAAATAAGCACAACTCGAAACGATATGAACAATCAATAACACGTCATCATCATCGAACCGAAACAATCATTTCCTTATCCCTAACGGAATAGGTTTAGTTCGTCATGATTTTATCGACACAAACAACAATAAATAACCCAAGCTATCATCGTACTTACAATAAAGTAACGATAACTTACGATTACTATTGAAAACTTGATGTCAATATATCACTATAACTTCAACAAGATATAGAAATATCACTTATAAGATCATGCATAAGAAGAAATTCTCATAAATGAAGACCTACCCAAAAACTTCAGAAGAAAAAGAAAGGATTTTTACAAGATTTTTTTCACTCTTATTGAATAATGAACTTGATGATATTTACATGCATGGATCACCTCTATTTATAGCTGAGAATTTGGAGTAAAATATAGCTAGAAATCAGCTATAGGTAAGGCTTAATCATCACCAAAATAACACTCCATCATCATGCATTATAAAAGAAAAGACAGCTACAGAAATCTGCCTAGTAGCGCCGCTACTGTGTCGGAAACTTTGCAAGTTGTTACGGTTTTCGCTCGTTCGGGCTCGTTTGGACTCGTAATTAAGTTCCATTTTTTCCTGTGCATTGCTAATGAACCCCTCTTTCCAATGATATGATCATACCCAAGAAATTTCCAAAATCCTATTCTTCCGATGTTTTCGACCTATGCATCTTTATTGAAAATAAAGCGAAAAATACTGGAAAAAATATACAGAAACATAAACATTATTTGACTATTACAAATCACACAATAAATGATAAAACTACCATAAAACTTATAAAATGACTCAAAATGAGGGTAAAATAATAATAAAATAATAACTAAAAATGTAACAGCCCAGTTCACCCGCTACAGAATATTGTCCGCTTTGGGTATACACCAGATCATTCCCTCACGGTTTTGCCTTTGGGAGCTAGCTCACCAAAACGCGTCCTGTAGGTTGAGGTATCCACAGCCACTTATATGGCATGCTTCGTTCTCCTCAACAACCAATGTGGGACATCTTTTACTAGACTCCACCCCCCTTGGAGGGCCCAGTGCCCTCGCTGGCACATCGATCCGGGTACTGGCTCTGATACCATTTGTAACAGCCCAGTTCACCCGCTACAGAATATTGTCCGCTTTGGGTATACACCAGATCATTCCCTCACGGTTTTGCCTTTGGGAGCTAGCTCACCAAAACGCGTCCTGTAGGTTGAGGTATCCACAGCCACTTATATGGCATGCTTCGTTCTCCTCAACAACCAATGTGGGACATCTTTTACTAGACTAACTATTTAATCGGTATAAATTACGTTTAATTCCGATATAGTAACGTTATTGTTTATTATTTTCGGAATTAATTAAGTTCAGTCGGAATTACCGAAAGCTATTTTCGGCGTACCATTTACGTCCGAAATAATTTTGGTAATTAAGTATTATGTTTAATTTAACAATTAAACATCAATTGAGTGATTAATTGGGATTAATCACATAACTTAGCCCTAAAGCCCTAATTAGCCGTGAGATGAAGAAAATTTTTCCCAAAAATCTTCCTAAATCCGTAAGCTTTTCTTAAGCTTGAAGAAAGGATATTAGCCAATCAAAAGTGAGCAAATGTCAAGCTTAGAGCAAGCTTAGTCATCTAAACCTTAGTTAAGAGTTGAACAAGTGTGAGAGGGAGAGGTGGCCACGCCATAGGTGCATCACCATCCCACCTTCACGGCCATGTATAAAAGGAAGCACTTGGATCAAATTTTTCCACCATTTTCCCTTATAAGCTTCAGCATATATATCCTCCCTAAATCCCTTATTTCCAGCAGCCTTCATAAGTTACATAATTTCCTTAAGTTCCTCCACAATCGCACGGCCAAACAAGTAGCTACCGCACGGCGCACACAAGGCACGGGAAGCACGCCTAATTTCCGATCCCGTCGAGAGTTCAGAAAGGTAAACTCCTCTTCAGTTCATAGCCTTGTTAATAGGATCAATTCCAAGTTAGCTGTTCGGAAAATTTTTAGAAATCATGTTAAAAACCGCACCCAAGTCCATGTATGCATAAGTAAAGTGATCAC